CGTCCGCGGGCGATGAAAAGAAGAAACGCTGGTGTGGCATCGCTGCAGGCATGACCGCTTTCGGTAGAATATCCTTGGAACGACGCTAACCTCAAGGCGAGCTGAACTGACCACTGCTACACTTGCCACGCCGAGCTCTCCACCCAGGCGCATGCGCTTACGTAAGCAGTACGAGGCAGCGGAAAAGCTCGGATGTGTCGCTGTGTAACCTTGCTGTGTCGCGTGGCGGAACACCACTGCATGTTACAGATCGACTAGATTTTACCCAACACCTAGTCGTTCCCACGTCTCAGCGCAAGTGACCTCCGATGGATCCAATCAGGTCAGCAGTGTGCATCGACCCCTGCCTCACCTGGTAACCGCGCGCCTCCGCCGCCAGGTGTACCCCGAGGGCACGATCCTGATGTCGGGCTTCAGCAAGTGGCTGAGCGCCGGCGGCTGGCGCCTCGGCTACGCCCACTACCCGCCCGGCCTGCAGCCGCTGCTGGCCGCCGTCCGCTCGGCCGGCTCCAACACGTTCAGCTGCGCGGCGGCGCCCGTCCAGTACGCGCTGGCCGCCGCCCTGCAGCCGGAGCAGGCCCCCGAGCTGCGACGATACGCTACTGACTGCGCCCGCCTCCTGGAAGCCGTCGGCTCCTTCTGCGCCAGGTGCGCGCGTGCGGCTGGCTTGGCGTGGTGTTGGGTTTGCGATTGTCACGGAATGGTCAGCTGGCCGCCGCAGGTAACGCACCCAACGATGGAAGGCTAGGCGTGTGCTGATTGTGAGGCGTTGTCACCCAAGACGCATCATGCATTACAGTAACCTCGGCGTTCATTGCCTAGATGCATGCTGGTGGGCGACAGACTAGCAAAGGCGTCGGAAGATGCCAGCTCGCATGAGCGCAGCGTTTGACGAGTTCGCTCGTACCGACCGCTGTCTTACGTTTGCGGTTCCGCAGAGAGCTGGCGCTCGTCGGTGTCAAAGGCACGCCAAGTCAGGCGGGCTACTACTTCATGCCTGACTTCGAGGTGTGCCGAGCCGGGCTAGCGGCCCGCGGCCTCTTCACCGGCCAGCAGATGGTGGACGCCATGCTCGAGGAGGCAGATGTCGCTGTGAGTCAGCTGCTTCACCTCCGTGTGTAGAGGGCGCCAGGAGTGAGCTACTTCGCCTCCGCGTGTAGAGGGCGCCAGGAGTGAGCTACTTCGCTTCCGTGTGTAGAGGGCGCCAGGGGTGAGCTACTTCGCCTCCGTGTGTAGAGGGCGCCAGAAGTGAGCTACTTCGCCTCCGTGTGTAGAAGCGCCAGGAGTGAGCTACCTCGCCTCCGTGTGTAGAGGGCGCCAGGAGTGAGCTACTTCGCCTCCGCGTGTAGAGGGCGCCAGGAGTAAGATATTTCGCCTCTGTGTGTGGAGAGCGCCAGGAGTGAGCTACTTCGTCTCCGTGTGTAGGGGGCGCCAGGAGTAAGCTGCTTGATCTCCGTGTGTAGAGGGCGCCAGGAGTAAGCTGCTTGATCTCCGTGTGTAGAGGGCGCCAGGAGAACGGTTTGCATTGCAGGCCGTGGTCAAACTTATTCATGAAATCAGGCTGGGCGTTATAGCGCGTCCTTTGTTTTGATCCATCGTCGTCTTTTTCAACACATTTGCATGATGAGTTGAAGCGGAGCGCAGGTAGCTTTTCTTTCACGTGTCAACGGCCGCATATTTTGGGAATTTGGGCGGTATATATCTAAACATGAGCGCAACTTTCCATGCCTGTTGGGTGTATTATGTAGCAGTAATGGACCACAGCCCCCAATGTTCCTGGCGAGGATTTTCAAAAAGCATCACCTCTGGACAGCAGCATTGAAAAGACTAACACATGATGCGCTCACATTTCACGTTTCTTATCACGCTTGGGTTTCCTTAGTTTTCTTTTTCAAAGTCGTAGGACTCGTGCATTTTTACCCCTTTTTCCTCGTTTGCATTTTGGGCGCGCAAGGTAAAGCATTGTTTATAATCATGCAAAAGGCGTGTCATTGGGACAAATGCCGGGCATTTAGTGTTGCTCACTAGTGGTGTAGCCATCACCGAAACCCATTGTCACAGACTCAGGCCGTGTCACCGACATAAAAGCACCATGCAACCCCGGCCTTCTGTTCTATCCGACCTTCTTCTTCACCCCGACCTCCTGCTTCACCTGACCTTCTGCTCCACCTTGCAGTTGATGGCCAGTTCGTGTTTCCTGATGCCCGACTCGGCCCTAGTGACGCGTTTCTGCTTCGTCTGCTTCGACGGTGCGGCGGCGCTGGAGGCGGTCGCCGACGGACGGCCGGTAGACGAGGCGTTCATCGAGCGTCACTGCCCCGTACTGGTGGCCGGGGTGCGCCGCCTGCAGGCCTGGGTCAGACGCCACTCGAACGTGGTCGGAGGTGGTGCGGTCTGACGGCGTGGTAGAGGCTGTCAGCGCTGCGACTGAGACGGTGCAGAGGCCAGGGACCTGCGACCGAGACGGCGCAGGGGTCAGGGGCAGTGGTGGGGAACCTCTCGCTGTGGTAGAGCACTTATCGCCGTGTTAGTGGCAGAGAGCTTGTAAAGGCAGGTACTATGTAGCAGAGTTTCTATGCGTGTCTTGGGTATTGTATATCAGAAGTGTTGGATAATACACTGTAGATGAAGAGAACTGCTTTGTATGAGTCTTCCAAAAATGACGTGACATATATCATTCATTACGGAGATACCTGCAAAGACACATACTTGCTGTTCTCGACTAACGTGCCTCATTTGTTAATTCACTGCGCCAGAGCATTTTTGATATTTTTATGGGGAAAATAAGTATCAAAAGGGCATCGGCGATCGTCAAATATGTCTCACCATCCCATAAACTCCAAACTACCGGCAAGCCCTGTATTCAGTGTTTATGGAATTCGCTACAAGGTGGCAGCACAATCGGAGCCGGTGAAGTAGGCGGCGTTGGCGGAGAACGCTTTGCGCCGCCGCCCACTCCGCACCCGCTGCGCGTACGGCATTCCATGCAATCTGCAGTTTGTGACTATGACTACGGTAGAATTACATGGAAAGCACGTTGATTAAAAAGGTTGAATAGTATGCGAACGCTACCGGAGGATGTAGTATGCAGATGCGGATTTTATGCAGTATACCGCAAGCCACGGTCGTGGCTGATCAGCATTTTTATCCTTGGATTTTGCGGCTGCTTCGAAATGCATGTTTTAAGGTCAAAATTAAGTTTTACCTAAAGGCACAGCGATGATTTCACGGTAGGCTAGCCGAAGTCTTTTGTATGGTTACTAGTGTTTTTCAAGGAGTGTCAGGTTCCCCGATGGCGAAATCAATTGGTCACATGGGTATTGTATGCACTTTACCTCCTCTAAAGTTTCTAGTATTCTCCATCCTTTGGAAGGGATGTTTGTTTCCCACCTCTCTTTTCTGGGTCGGGTACAGTGCTGTTCCTCTCCCGTATTCTCCGGGAGCAGTGCTGCTGCTTTTGATCCTTTCCGGGAGCAAGGTTGTTCGCCTCCTGTCATCTCCTGAAGCAGTTTGTGTTGTTTACCTCTCCTTATCACCGGGAGCAGCGTTATCACCTCTCCTGTCCGGGAGCAGCGTTAGTCACCGCTCCTGTCTAGGAACAACGTTATTCACCTCTCTTGACCGGGAGCAGCGTTATTCACCTCTCCTGACCGGGAGCAGCGTTATTCACCTCTCCTGACCGGGAGCAGCGTTATTCACCTCTCCTGTCTAGGAACAAAGTTTTTCACCTCTCTTGACCGGGAGCAGCGTTCTTCGCCGCTCTTGACCGGGAGCAGCGCCATTCACCTCTCTTGTCCGGTAACAACGTTATTCACTGCTCTCGACCTGGAGCGGCGTCATTCACCTCTCTTGACCGGGAGCAGCGTTATTCACCTCTATTGACCGGGAGCAGCGTTATTCACTTCTCTTGACCGGGAGCAGCGTTATTCACCTCTCTTGACCGGGAGCAGCGTTATTCACCTCTCTTGACCGGGAGCAGCGTTATTCGCCTCTCCTGTTCGAGAGCGGTGTTATTCACCTCTCTTGACCGGGAGCAGTGTTATTCATCTCCTTTGTTCGGGAGAAGTGTCATTCACCTCTCTTGTCCGCGAGCCGCGTTACGTGCCTGGTCCCCTTCTCCGGTAATGGTGGTGCTTAATTGTCCAGCTTGGTAACCCTGCCTGATTAGCGATTACCCGCATGCTCCCCTCGCTTCCCTTCATTCTGGCAGCGTTAGTGTGATGACGCTAATCAGCTGGTTCGTGCATGGATCCCAAGCACGGCCCAACCCATGACGACGTGACGCTGCCCAATCTGGCGGTGGTCGCACCGAACCAAATGTGAGCTAATTTCATTGGCTACCGTGCATGGCACGGCCGCCTGCCAGGCTTAACACCTGACGGGGTGCCGGATATTGCGCCTCGCTGAGCCTTAACCCGTGGTCTCGATTCGCCTTCTTATTGCCTCTCAGCTGTCCCGGTACCAAACAGTGCCTGCGATGCGGCCTGGAGCTCATGGCAGTGAGCACTGTCAGCATCAGGCAGCTCCGGGCGTCAGATAGGGACATGTTCCCTGGATCGGTTGTGGGAGAGGGCTGTGGCAGCTGCACGCACCTTTGGCAGTTGGCTACACGGCTCAGGACTTGACTGAATTTCCAGCTTGATTTAAACGTTATATAATTTCACTGAATCTTTCACGGTATAAATACATGTGCCAAACGTCGATTGAGCTAAATGTTTGAATGATGCATTCATATGTGCATCTCAGTGCTCAGTTTGCTAGTATTATGTGTATGTTATTATTGTGACATGTTATGTGATACATAATAACATGATCACATATTTATTGAAATGTATCATCATGATTGTTATGATGTGTTCAAATGTGCATCTTACTGTTCAAACAGTTTGCTAATATTACATGTGTTGTTGTGATTTATAATAGCACGATAATCACATATTCATTGAAATAGCACTAAAGCTATCAACGCTGCCTGAAGCCTGACCGCTTTGACAGCAAGCATGTTCGCCCGAAACTTCGATGCAAAGCACGTACGTTAATAAAGCAGCATCACCAAAGTGGCGCCGCCTGTCTCCATGCCGCCTCGGGTGCACAGAGCGGCGCCGGCGACTCGGCAGTGCCCGCGTCCGCCCTCCCCGTCCCACCTCTGCCCTCCTCGTGCCAGCAGCTCGTCACGTGCCGGCGCCGGGTCGGCTTACACCGGCCTGCCTCCCGGACACTCCTCAGCGCCGCCTCGGCCCCGTGGCGCTGGCCGCGGCACGTCCGCCAGCAGCGCAGGGACGCTCGTCCGCGGCCGGCACCGTGCAGCAGACGGCGCCGATCGGCCCCGCTGCGCGCTGGGCTACCTCGGCAGCGCCCGCTGACTCAGAGCGGACTGTGGCGCGGGAGCAGGCAGCGCTGTTGCCTGTGTTTTCCTGCACGCAATGAAGGCGCGTGCGCCCATCAAGCTCTGCGTAAATCGATGACCCTATATCATGCGTGTGTCGGACTCTGTGGACACGACTCCTGTGACTCGCCGTTTTTATTATTACTCCTGGCATTCACGTGCCCCCTCATATACGCGGCGCGTACACGTACAAGTAATCCCGATTCGGTGAGCATCTTCGTAGAAGTGTGCATGTGTAAACATGGCGCCTGAAGGTCCCACAACGCGCAAATCAGTCTGATGAGACCTGCGTTGTATGTGGGTGGGAGACCACAGCCTTCGGCAGCTCATGGTGGTGATCCCAATGAGCCCACCTAGCGCCAAATGTGGTTCACAGGATGACGGGGTCAAGGACGTGCCAATAAACCCGACAACGAGAGCTTCCTGTTTGTCAGAGCCGCAGCAGGTCTGGGTCTCTGACCGGCGGACGGACATAGGCAGTGCGTGCAGTATACTGTTTGTACGCATTGGGATGCGTGCGAGTGTAACGACCCTGCTCCGTATACGCTTGTTCTCGTTGGGCGGGTTATATGATCGGCTGTGGTCGCCAAGCGCGTGATCGCGTGTGATCGCCAAGTTCGTGAAGCGCGCTGCGTCTGTTGACACGCAAGCGGAAAAAGAAATATTCGCGCTGCGTGGCCATCGGAGCGTGACGCACAACAGCACGTAATCAGTGCAGCTTCGAAACGAATAAAACGCTTGTTTGGATAGCACGTAAGCAGGCCACAGGGAGGAGTTCGGTACGCCTGGTATTGCGCTGCTTACAACGTCCAGTCCCGCATGCAACTTTTCTAGGCCGAAAACCTGTTGAATCTATTCCAAACAAAAAGCGTAGGTAGCAAGGTGACTGAGTGTGAAAATAAGTTTGTTGACTGCCCATACTTTTTAGTAAGAAATAGTTATGCTTCACTCACCAAATGCTTTCTTCTTCATTTTTGGATCAAATGATTCCTGGGTTTGCCCTTTGATTTGTTTGACAAGAAAATGTGCGTTGTTTTTTTAATTCTTTGCTGACGCTAAAACTCAATTTGACAACGATTCACCCCAACACATACGCAAAAGAAGAAACCTGAATACACTGTAAGAAATGCTTAGATGCCTTAGCGTCAGGGAAAAGGTGGTCGGGTACATGTGTTTCTTACATTCAAGCAATAGATCACTGCAGGTCCTATCAGACTACCACAGTAAAAAACGTCAATATGTCTGGAACATATATATATATATATATATATATATATATATATATATATAAGCATATATATATATATATATATATATATATATGTATATATATATACATATATATATATATACAAACATCTGTATGTTTTGCTCGAAACGGTCCCAGCGTGGTAAACGAAAAGTTTGTGGCAATCCGTGATGTTCCAGCTGCATGCCGTTGCTACCTTAGTATGCCTGTGCTAAGTCCACGAAAGACGTCATCGAGCTGGGATGTTCAGCATCGGATCAAAAGGTTGCCGTGATATTTTTGGCATGCACCCGAGATAACAATGACGGATTGTACGTAATAGTGCACGATTTGAAGCATACTTGTTTGAGAGTTAAGGCAATAGATTTAATTTTACTAGTGGCCCTTGTTGGTCAAAATGACAGCCAACTAAATGCGCTTAAGCCCGTTGCACAATGGTATAACGTTTTTGGAACGCGGCCTGCATAGTTCAAAGACAGATATGTTGCATTCGTCATCATTCGCCTCACTTCGAGCGGAGAGGGCAGGTAAATAGCCCTTTGTATCCCGGCCTTAGCAACAGCCATGAACTCGACAAACGAAGGGTCGTGTTTCCTCGCACTGGCGGACAGCTAGCTCCCGAGAAGGCCTCTGCCGCTTCAGACCTCCTTGGTGCCGCTCTCGGAAGTGGGGTTCAGTGCCCCGCCAAGGCGCACGGACCCGCGAAAATGAGCCGGCGGCGTCCGCCCGCGCCGAGCGCGCTCGCATTGAGTACCATTACGTCGCGATTCTGGGCAGCATTGGGCGGGAATGAGGCGCATCCGCCAGCGGTCGCCGCCGACATCCGGCGGCCGAGCGGCGCCACCGTCGCCAGGCCGTCAGGGGGCGCCCTCGTCGGCGGCGGCGGTCGGCAGCCATGTCCGCGCGTCGCCGGTGGTCGCACGCGCTCCTGCTGCTGGTGCCGCTGGTGCTGGTGGACGCCGCGCCGCCGGCCGACCCCGCCGAGCGAGCGGCGAACGGCAACGGCACGGGTGGCGGAGCGGTGGCCGGCGGGCCGCCGCCGCCGCCGCCGCCGCCGCCCAACGCCACGCTCGAGTACCACGACCCGCTGTTCGGTCCGTACGACCCGAATCGGCACTACACACACGTGCGCTACTTCGAGGTGGGCAAGGTGGACTTTGAGCATGTGCAGGCGCCGTTCGTGATCGGCTGCTGGATCCTGATCGCCGGCCTGGCTAAGATGGCGTTTCACAGTGTGCCTCACATGTCGCGGATGGTGCCGGAGTCGTGCCTGCTCATCGGACTCGGCATCGGGGTCGGCGCACTGCTGTACGTGTGCCTGGGCGACATCGAGGCTTCGCATCACTTGGACCCGGACACGTTCTTCCTCTACATGTTGCCGCCCATCATCCTCGACGCTGGCTACTTCATGCCCAATCGGCTCTTCTTCGACAACCTGGGCACGATCCTGCTGATGGCCGTGGTCGGCACTATCTTCAGCACGTTCGCGATCGCCGGCGGCCTGTACCTGGTGGGCATGACGGGTGTGTACGGCGTGGAGACGTCGCTGCTGGACATCCTGCTGTTTTCGGCGCTCATCTCTGCCGTGGACCCGGTGGCCGTGCTCGCTGTGTTCGAGGAGATCCAGGTGAATGATGTGCTATACATCGTCGTGTTCGGCGAGAGCCTGCTGAACGACGCCGTCACGGTCGGCCTGTACCATATGTTCGAGGAGTACATGATTCTCGGTCACAGCGCCTTCCGGATGACGGACATCGGCAAGGGGTTCGTCAAGTTCGCCTCGGCGGCTGTAGGCGGCACGTTCATCGGGGTGGTGTGGGGTTTTGTTACCGCCTTCCTCACTCGCTTCACGGACAAGGCTCGTGTAATGGAGCCCATCTTTGTGTTCACCATGCCGTTCTTGGCGTACCTGAACGCCGAGATCTTCCATCTTTCCGGCATTCTGTCCATCACTTTCTGCGGTCTGACGATGAAGAACTATGTCATTACGAACGTATCCACTAAGTCGCACACTACGATCAAGTACATGATGAAGATGCTGGCCTCTTGCTCGGAAACGGCAATCTTCATGTTGCTGGGAGTGGCCACCGTGCATAACCACCACGACTGGAACCTGGCCTTTGTACTGGCCACCATCCTCTTCTGTGTTGTCTTCCGTTCGATAAGTGTAGTCGTGTTGACCGCCTTTGCCAACCGTTTGCGTCTGCGTCCGATCGCCGCCGTTGACGTGTTCGTGATGGCGTACGGCGGCCTGCGCGGGGCCGTCGCCTTCGCCCTCGTCATGCTCATCGATCCGCACTTGGTGAAGGAACAGCAGATGTTCCTCACCACCACCATCTCCGTCGTGTACTTCACCGTGTTCGTGCAGGGCATGACCATCAAGCCTCTGGTGAAGCGGCTGGGTGTCGAGCGCGCGAACAAGCGGAAGCTAACAATGAACGAGCGAATCCACGAGCGGACGCTGGACCACCTGAAGGCTGGCGTCGAGAACATCGTCGGCCACCCCTTGACGTACAACGTGCGCCACCGTTTCAAACAGTTCAACCACCAGTACCTGCTCCCGTGCTTGACGCGCGGACACCACAACCGCGCGCGCGATCCCAAGATCATGGAGACGTTCAGCAGGCTGGTCATGATGGACGCCATGCAGAACTACAACGACGTGACCAACATGGGCCAGAGCAGCCAGCGGCTGACCGCCAGCTCCTCGCTGTCCGTGTCGGACGCGGCCAGCGGCAGCCCGGCGCTGGCGCCGCCCGCGCAGCGTCGCTTCAGCTACCGCCGTCACGTCACGCAGGACGCGCAGCTGCCCAACCCCGTGCTGAGCGCGCGAGACCAGGTGCACATGGCGCAGGACATGGACGCGCGCCTGCTGCTGCGCGCCTCGCAGACGGCGCCGGACGAGGCGCGGCACGGCACGGTGGTCGGCGCGCTGCGCGAGGCGGCGCGGCGCGGCTCGGCCGGGCTCGGCCGGCGCCGGCTGGGCAGCGAGCCGTCGGAGCACGGCCGCGCCAGGCGAGACGAGGAGCGGCGCGGCAGCGGCGGCGATTTAATTACCCTGGACGGGGGCGGCCTACAGTACACTCGACTGTGAGCTGAGCCCGCCTTTGAGCTCGCGGTACTGTCCGCGACCGCGGGTCGACGGTACGCACGACCGTTACTTAACGGTACATCCAACTGTGAGCCCACTGCGTTGGCGATTGTGAGCTGTCTGTGCGGTCGACAGTTGGCTGACTGTACAGCCGGCTGTGGGCTGGCTGTAGAGTCGACTGTGGGCTGATTGTACAGCCGATCGTGGGCTGAACGTGCAGTCGACTGTTGGCTGACCGCACAGCCGACTGTGAGCTGACTGTACCATATCCACATCGCAGGGCGGCCTGATAAGTTGGCCGATGTTGACTATGAGTGCACTACGCCGCATTGCCGTACTCGATGACATGGCACCTGGGTCATAGAAATGAGAACATTTTCTGTTTGACTGTTGGAATTTTGTGCAGACAAGTCGGAAGAAAGGAGTTAGGATGGCGTGCGGCGGGAATGAGATCAATTAACGCATTGAGGACTTGATGATATGGAGATCCGTGGCAAGGACGATCATTCATGTTTCCATATCATGTACATGCATGGCATTGTGCTGTACCAAATTTGCATCTTATGTCATTTTTGCAACTGTTTTGGATGATTAACACGGGTCAGAAGATGCCAGGAGTCGAACAATTTCATAGCATGTATTTTAGCTGAGCCATTTTACACCGTTTTATGCCTTATGAAAACCATTTTAAGGCATTGCTAGTGGATAGTCACGCATGCGCATCGTGTCAACAGCAAAGTGGACAACGCGTTTAGACTTGCGTTTAACCAAATCCCCGCGTATGTCACCATGAACCATCGACATCATTAAAAAAGCTGAGTGATAACGGCCGGTTTCATGGATGCGATGCCGGCGGCAATATGGTGTTATATCGTCTACCTTCTCCCCCAAAATAGGCGTAGTGATAACGGCCGGTTTCACGGATGCGATGCCGGCGGCAGTATGGTGTCATATCGCCTACCTTCTCCCCTCAAAATATCGTCCGAGTGCCGACGGACATGGGGGCAACGGCAGCAGAAATGCTGGTTCACGGCCTTTCCCTCCAATAAGCAGCACTGATCTCCCACGTTGCCGCTAATCGCCCGAGGCGGCAGCGGCAGCGGCCGCTGCAGCAATACGGCAAATTAGTGCCTGATGTTCTCGTAATGCCAGCGCTCGCAGACTGAGCTCCGCAATCAGAGGCCCAGACCCCGGGCTGGGGCGTTTAGTGGCAATAAAGCAGGAGACCGGTTCTGTTTGGGGGCATGACTAGATTCGTTGCATTCCGATTCGACACCCGGTCCGGGGCCTGGCGGTATGTGTGGGCCGGCACAGTGATTGCCCTGACATCATCACCGACGCCTGCTCGCGAACACCACCTCGTCGCAGAAACCAAATCAGCGGGACGACCGAGCTGCTGGTCGCTTGACTTTAGTCACATACGTATATTGAAATACGGGGATAAGTTTCCTATTCAGCTTTGGGCTGCAGCCCCCCCCCCCCCCCCCCCCCACTCCCCCAACTTGACACAGAAAGTGGGCCAAATTTGGGGAAGAACCTTTTTTGGCGCATTTTGTGGGTAGGTTGCGTCATTTTTCATCGCCCAGCTACCCCCCCCCCCCCCCCCCCCCCCCCCCACCCTCACCCATCAACTCATTTTGCAAAGCTACGCTCCTGATGCCAGACGTGTCCGTTGGAATCAAACATACATCTTGACTGACGCTTTTAGATCATTGATAATCAAATGCCCTAGCAGACCGAATATTGTGTGATTCGGTCTTCCTTTCGAAAAGTCTTCCATGGTCAACGTCGGACGCATCAGCGGGTAAAATGCAAGTGCACAATAACGTGTCATTTTATTCAGTGCTACACCACCAGAGGTGAACAGAACAACGAGCACCGAGGCGTTGAAAGCCGCAGCTAGCCATCCGGCCTGCCAAATATGTTCATATTTAGCCTTCCAAAAAACTGCTGAGTTTCCAGTAAACGTCGTAAACAGACATTCGAAAATAAACTACGCAGTGCTGGAACATTTAACAGAATAGCGGCCTTCTACAATATTAGTCTAAAATTTTACGCGGCATGCAATATAGTCTGCATTTAAACGGCAGCATGTGTTCAATGGAAAGCTTAAGAGAAGTATCCAATATAAACGGCATGCAGCAACAGCCGCCATCCTTCCAAGCCGTTCCTTCGAGAGCCACCCATACGCGCATCGCATTCTCATTTCCAGCCTGGCAGCGGCAACCGGCCTCCACATCTAAAGACTAAAACAAGACCAGAAGCGCGAGTCTCCGGCGGCGGCGGTATCACTGGCCGACCGCGACCGGCGGGGAACGTCACAGCCCGAGCCGGCGTGCCGGCCCGGCCCGACACTCGGCGCCACCTCGCTGGCGCTCCAGCCACCCATCGGAGGGCCGACGGGAGCGAGCGACGCCTCGCGAGCCGCCCGAGCGCGGCGAGCGAGTCAGCCAGCCAGCGCAGCCTACACCTGCACACCCACGCGCACGCACACGAACACAGCGAACGACGGCGAGCTCGGCTGGCGCCGGGGCCGGAGGTGCCCGCCGGACGTCGACCGAACGTCCCCCCCCCCTTCCCCCTCCTCCGCGCAGCGAAGCCGGGCAGGTGCGTGCAAGCGAGCCGCGCCGGTAGCCGGTGCGTGGGGAGCCGCGGACTGACGGAACGCGCGCGGCAGCACATCTAGGCCTCGAGAGCGGGCGACTTGGCCTCCGCATCTGGGGACTTGGCCCCGGAATCTGGGGACTTGCCCTCGGATTCTGGGGACTTGGCCTCAGGGTTCGGAGACTTGGCGTCGGATTCTGGGGACTTGGTCTCCTCCGCCGGGGATGTGGCCTCCGCAGATTGGGACGAGTCTTCAGGCTGCGGTGGCTTGGTATCAGCTTCGGGAGATTTCGGGTTATCTGGCTGCGCGGGTGAAGACGGAGACTTTGCTGGAGATTTGTTGGGAGATTTTGTTGGCGAAGACGGACCCGTGCTCTGAAACAGTCATCGGGCACCAATCATAATACAACCATTCGAAGCCATAAGCAGGCGACAACCAAGACAGCACCAAGTTTGCCAGTCATCCCAATCATGATGTAAAGACGAGCTCTCCGTCGACTGCGATGAATATTGATTTTTCTACTTGCATAATGTGAGGTAAGGAAAATTAGATAGATGTGGAACAAATCGTCGGTGATGGGCAGGTAACAATAGCAATAACGGGGGCTTTAAAATATCACAAAATATAAAACGCCCATGCGCTTTGTCGTCCATGTCCTCTTCACGACATCATGTGCGCGCGTGGGTTTAAAATTTTGAGTCGAAATGTGACAACAGTGCAATTGATATTTTGCTTACATACTAAGAACATGAAAAGCATACGACAGAAACTACTCGTGCTATTTTCCATCAGAAATTGCCATCATGGCCAGAAAATCACCGTCACTGAGCGTGTGGCAGGTCCATTGACCGGGAGTACGTATGTGTGCCGCACGGGTCGAGATATGCCGGCTGGCACAGGCGGCACAGCTGGGACTGGCTAGCGGCAGGCAGGTCACCTAGTACACCATGGGCAGGAACCAGCGCAGATAGTGCAGCGTTTTGAAGAGCAGCACGAGGTAGGAGGCGGGCGAGGAGTGGACCACGTTCGCCATGCACGCCATGGCCAGAAACTCGACGTTCTCAAACCGGGGCACTTGGGGCTCAATGCAGATCACCTACAGGAACGGGTGCGAGGGCCACAAGTTAGCAACGCCTTTGAAAGATACCGAGGAAGCTTCAGATCCAGCCACCGTGCTCCTTTTTCGAGTAGGCTATCATATGGTCACAACTTTAGCTTGGCGTTAGGATAAATGCAACCGGCGAGGAGCGGCCCCCTCCCGCTCCCCCTCAACCCACGACGCCCACCACCAGCGTCGATGCGCAGGTGCCTCAGAAACAGGAATGGAAGGAAGTGGTTCTCCATGTGTCGGCGCTGCGCATTTTCTGACGAGGAGTTATGCGCTGCGGGTCGGAAACTGAGCTGTTCATCTGCGCTGTGTGCATGAATGTTCGTCGATAAAGACATCGGTCACGTGTGACGCGTGTCCCAAAGCACCTACGCACACACACACACACATGTTGAATTTGTTGAAGGCTGCCAACACAACCCTGTTTGTGCTGCAGTTCCACACCGGGTTTCATGCACCCTCTATAAATGAGCTAAGAATGACGGCCCAAATTTGCATACGTGGTGCGTATGCCACCCCAAAAATAAAGGCCACGTCCTGTCGCATTCTCACGTGCTGTCGGTAATTGGCATCGCGTCTGAGAACATGGCATACTTCGTCAGTCAGGTAAGGGGGCAGCAAAGACTGTAGAAGCATGCGGAGCTAAAGAAAAGAGTACAGAAATCACGTTCAGTCAAGATTGCTATTAGCTTGCCCTCCAACCACCTGAACATATGGATGTGCCTTGAATGTACAATCCAAAAGGACCGACGGCTCTAAACACTACAGACAGAGACTTGAGGTGCTGATGTTAGTAGCGGCCAGCTGTTCACCAGGGCCTGCAGGCTTGTAAGGCGCTATGTTAGTAAGCCGAAATCCACCTGTAAAGGAATACTCACCGTCAGAGCCGGGCTCAACCCCTCACCGGTTCCGTGGCGTCATCTATCGAGCTGGCCTGAGACTTGCGCCTGCTACGGCCCTCGCCAGAGCCAGAGCTAATCTGGCGAATGTACTCAGTGTCGTTGAAGATTTTCTTGTCGCCACCTTGCGGCTTGTGTTTCACGTTATCCAGCGAGCCAATTCTACTGCCCACCGCGGACATGTCAATTTTGATGGATTCAACCTGAAAGGGCGGCGGCCCGCAGGGCATGAGTGCAGTGCAGCCGGTGCAGTCGCCGCATGCTTCTCTCGCGAGGTGCTCCTCGCAGCCCAAACACATCCAAATATAGCATGACCATACACCGTGACGTCATGTTCTGCACGCAGCACACAAATAAATGACCGCGTGCCGTGTTGTGAGGTGCTGCAGAAAACGAATGCCCGTCTCTGTGTGGCGATACCGTTGGACGTTGAACGCATCACAAACGAAGCACATGCCATACCCGCTATTCTGGTGGTAACGTGACGACCAAAGTGGGTAAACAGCTCGTGGTGGTGACACTGAGAGCATATATCAGCTGAGCAGGCGTTCTTTTCAGCGGTCACAACTTTCAACGTGGTACAAGCTTCATGCACACAGCATACATAGCATGTTTTGTTGAACGTTGGCACATCAACCACATCATGCTTGAATGTCTTATGATTTTACGGCTGATCAGTGTAAAACAGACACTTAATGTGACACGTTGGGGCAGGTGTAGAATGAGAACGGGCAAATTTTCAGAATACTTTACACCAGTGCACCAGTGCCGTGCGTGAAAACATCCCAGACATTCCGTGGCATTCTCCAGCCAATACCGGTGCACCCCGCTGTCCGAGCGTGACCCCTAGCGACCTCTGTGCCCAGTGGACGCCACCTCGGCACGGCCAGGTGGCACTGCCAGCCGCCACCGTTTGAGCAAGTGACGCTGCCTGCAGCTCGGAGGCAGCCAGGTGGCGCTGCCACCGTCAGGGCGTACCTTGACATCGCCGCCGCCCGGTTTGTGCTGCATGTTGTCCCGCGAGCCGACCTTGGGTGCAGCGCGCTCCTTGAACTCCAGCTTCTGGTTGCTGACCTTGACATTGCCGCCGCCCGGCTTGTAGTTCGTGTTGCCCATGGAGCCGACCTTCGACTCCGACTTCCACTCCAGCTTCCTTGACTCGATCTGCAAGTACAGTGCGTTGGTCACACGCGTGCTTGACTGCCAGTGAGGTGGAAGCGAAGGGGAGGGTCCGGAGCAAGGGTGGCTGCTCGTTATCACGCTGGGGACATAATAAAGTGGGAAGCTCGGAGGGTCATGTGGCGGGATCGTCGGGGTCCCAGGCCCTTTGCAGCGCGCACGTCCAGCCGTACCGAACAACTGTCCACCCGAGGCACACTAAGCAGCTGGACTATTTTAAAACTGTTAATAAATCCGAAGCACACCTATATGCGTGTACCCGGACGTCCCTTACGGAAAAGGAAAAATGTAAAGTTGTCTCCGATCTCCTCTGACTTTGGGCTGAATTCCCGCGAAATTCTCAGCATTTAGTATAAACCCATTCGTTAACGCGGGGAGGGCATGGGCTCCGTGTCCCCACCCCCTCCCTCCCCTTTTAGCCTCGTCCCTCACACCTATGGCAGCTAGTCCATAAAGCGAACTGATATTGGCATCACCAGAACACAGGATCCTCATCATGAAACGCACCCAAACTTAGATCAAATCATCACTATTATGCGGCTAGTTTTCTCACATGATGTTGGGTGACCGAGAATCTGCGTCTATCCGATGCACAGCTATAATCATTCACCGCTTAAATTTTATCTTTGTAGTGCCGCTACCGGTTTTGTAATTAGACTTTATGGGTCTATCTGATTTACAATTATAATTGTTTGCCTCTTTAATGTTTACCTTTTTGGTGCCACCACCGGGTTTGTAGCTAGACTTCGCCTGGATTTTTGTCGAGGCCTTGCTCACGTCGATTTTGTGGCTTTCGATTTTGATGTTCCCTCCACCGGGTTTGTAGCTTGAATTTGCCAGAGACCCGATGCGAGATTTGACGTTCTTTATGTTCGGCGAAGCAGCTGTCCCCACTTGCACCTTGTTCATGGGTACTTCTGAAACGTACCGAAAGTACAGTAACACACGTCCCACGGGCGACACAAGTTATCTATACAGCTTGAGTGTGCTGCGGCGCTCAACGTTAAGCTAGGACCCCAGTCCTCAGCTTCGTGATCAACTACAAATTGGAGATGAAGTAAGTCCATTTAACTTCAGTATTTGATCTGGGGGCCATGCCTACGCATATACCATTCGCTCAAATATTTCAAGGTGTTAAACGAAAATACCTGGGGAAATAACCTATACATTTTTTCAATGCGGACTCACACGGACAATTCAATCTGTGATATCAAGCGCCGAAAGCATATACATGGCCATTATGTCATCAGAAAACTCAGCTAGCATTGGCTTACTTTCTCTGTTCACGCTGCACAAATTGTCTGCATAGTCATAGCTGGATGTCCCCAGGTCCGGAACGCGGGGTGGTGGACCGTAAGCTATCGTCCCGGACAAAGTTCGATACACAACGGGACGGATATGAGGGCTTTTCATGGCCAACAAATCAACGATAGGTGCAATAAAATTGTTTTACATTAGCAATTGACAAGGAATTTTAAATTGTTCCAAAATATTACGGATTTCCATGCCCTACTACATTGACAGGGAGTTGCTGTTCGGTATTTCTGGGATTAACATGAAATTCATAACCTTTTCTTCTAATCCAACACGTGACATAGGCTTCAGGTAGTTCATCTGCGTGCATAACTCCCAAAGCGGATTCACAAAATACCAAAACAATCGTGATCTACGAGGCATCGTGTTCAATTTCCATACTGGCACGTCGACGTATCGACCAAACTTAAATATTGATATGTTGACGCGGCATAAACTGCGAAGAAAGAATACGATTTTCCACAACAGCAATGGATTTGACCCCATACAGCTGAGCTCGATACTGAATTTCACTTAACAGTGCACTTGATCTTTTTCAGAGACGCCTTCAACTGCCAGAGATACGACTGAAAGCTCATGAGCGTTGCACTTGCGCCACCATTGCTCGTCCTCCTCACCGATTCAAACATTTAAATAAAAAGTATGAGGTCGCAAGACATCAAACTTGCAACATTTGAATGCACTACCGGGTGCCAACAATTTCCATCGCTTGCTGAACAGTTGCCTCCTTTTTCGAGGTTTCTGGGTAAAAACACATCAAAACAACTTTCATATATTTGCCAGGTTAAACTGAGCACGCTAAGAGAGGAGTTCATTCTGAAAGTGCTCTATGCCAAAACAACATCAGCGTAGTGCATACAGCTTTACTTTTCTGGATGAGCAAAGGAACGAGGTTGTGACGAAATGCAACGGATGAAAGATCAGCAAAGCTTATGGTGACGTTCTTGTGAAAAATTGTGCTGGCAAGATATTTGCTTTCTTAACCCGTTCGCAACCCTGTCTGAATACCGAGAAATCGACAGACTCACGCCAACGATTTTATTGCCGGCAGTTTATCGTCATGCGCAAAAAATGCGCATGCAATTACACCTTGCGAATTAATCGCGGAGCGTTGCATATCTATGACGTGTACATCGAACTATTATTTTATTAATTGCTGAGGGTGATACTTAAGGGACTAAGCAGGGGCAGCTTTTTGGAATGTGTGTACAGTCATTTAGAAGCCTTCTTCTTATGTGCGGACGCCATTTTATTGATGACTTGGATGGCTTCCTTATCTCTACTCAACTGCCTTAAAAATCTGGCAATCTTACTTGAAGTCTGCTTTGTCTTCTTTTTCTTTTTTGACTTTTTCTTCTTGGTCTTAACCATGGCAGCAGCTGACGCAGCTCTCCTGCTTCCGCTTCGGGAGGCAGCCGGTGATGCAGGCATTAGTTTCACGTGCTTCAAGATTCCCGTGGACACATCACTTGGATAGCTGTGCAAGCTGCGGAGACTGCGAACGGACGGTTCTCGACTTTTCCTCACTTTCTTTTTCTTTTTCTTCGTTCTCTTCTTTTCATCTTTCGGTTTGGTGTCATCAGGTAGAGACATCTTGGAATTTATACTTTTCTGGGACGGTGACCGTCTCTGATTCCGCGAGTGATGGTGCGAGGAGGAGCGTTTTTTAATCTTGACCTGAACGCCGGTACTCTTGGTAGGATTTTCGTCAATTTGCGTGGCAGACGAAGCAAACCTTTTCTCGGACACTGGAGAGCCTAACCGCCCGGCAGAGCTGTGCTGAGTAGTCAGCGCGTTCTGCCCAGAGGTGGCCCGAGCTCCAGTCAGGCACGAGGGCTTTTCAATGGGGACGGACCGAACACGGTCGGCCGACCGCACGCGATGCCGGCTCTCTGGCGGCGGCGGCGACGGGCTTCCGGGGGTCGACCTGAGGCGCACTTTGGCCTTCTTCCACTCCATGTTCTCCGGAGTTTTCTGGACTGGTACCGCTGTCTTCTGTTCTGGCTTGACAGCGCTTTGTGGGGAAATCGGAGGTTTATCTGCATCGACGGCGGGTTGGTCCTCGGAGACCGGATCGGATGCGTGTGGCGCAGAACTGGTGGACGTCTGACAGTCCGGCTGACTGCTGGTAGTTTCGGCGGCCTTCTTGCCCAAGGCGTCCGTCTGAGTCGTTGAGTGGTGTCTGGAGATCACAGTAGTTGCCGATCCCGATGACTCCTCCACGCTTAAACCACTAGCAGCAACGAATGTTTGCGTGTGCTTGGAGTTTTTGGCGGCTAGTTTGAACTTCGTAGCCAGATACTGCTGTCGGCGAACATTCCTGCCGCGGGCCATACGTGGTGGGCTGCGAGCAATCGATTCAACACTGCGCTGGTTTTCTATGGGATCGGTGTCGCTGCTGTCTGCCGCTATAGAGAAAGGCCTCCGACGCCGTGGAGATGCCGTCTTACTGCGAGACCTGGATCCTCGCTTCGGCGATGTGACAGCATTGCTGCTTCGCGTTTGCTGAATCTGTGTGGTGTTTGCTTTCTGGTTGGCTTTCACGGTGGTCAATCCCCTAGAAATTTCGGCATCAGGCTTATTCGGCTTCAGATGGTACTGTGCATGCAGCGCAGTTCCCTGACTATGAGCAACTCTTCTCTCACAGTTGGCACTCGCTGGTCTGGTTGGCTTGATCGCTGAATTGTTTTGAGATCCTCCAGAATGTTGCCTGTTAGGACTTACTCCACGACAACCACCCGGCGGTTGAAATCCTCGCGACCTCTCCTTTTCTATCTCTTTGTATTTCTCCCTAACATGCAACGGTAGTGATAAGTCGTTTGGGTCTCTCAAGTTCGCGTACACATACTGTATCATATGTTTGCCACGCGCATCGTTCGCTTTTAGGTAGTAAGTTCCAGGTAGCGGCACATTGCTGCCAGCAGATGCCGGCCTTTCCAGATTGGTTCTTGGAATGGAGTAAAGTGCCTGACCTGAGCTAGACTTCGAACTTTCGTTCTGAACGTTCTTCTGAAGGTCATTCGAAGAGACCCGATTTACCACCTCTGGTGCTGCTTGGGGAGTATGGCTGGATGGCGAAAGAGCCATCCGTTTCCTTTACAGATAAACAATTTATCCGATAGATAATGGATAATTTGTACGCCAAAAAGAAGGCCCAAAAATAAACCACAGCATATTGATAATGATTTGGCCTCGTGCGTCACATAAGTCCGCGTACTAAACTAAAAACATTGAAAACAAAGCCACTCACGTGTGCATTTTGATTGAGCGCTGTCATTTGACTGAGACAGATTTGATGATCTGTCTTGATATACTGACTACTTTGATAACCGTTACTCTGCTATATTTGTGAGGTACCTATGTAAGTACTTACTTTGCTGACGGCGATTTGGAGTTAATATATCAACGATGCATTCGCATCATAAATGTATCGCGATACGTCGCTTACCTATAATGTGGGCATCAAACTGTTATTTGATCGTTTGTTGAATGAGTGCTGACGCCAGTTAGATTAAATGGATAATTTCTTGTATGTGCTGCTTTACTATTTTCGCAGCTTATGTAGCTCATGGTCTTTGGTACTGCGAGCATGTAGGTCAAAATATGCCAGCCATCAATGTACTAGGAGCTATTGGTTAAACGAAGAGCGTAAGCAATCATTAAGATCGATTATGAAAATATTCAACTGAGTGCTTTCATGGAATGGCACCACGATTGCCTCATACCTTCCTTTAACCTACAGTTTCCTTTGCATTGTAGGCCGATTATTGTCGGATGAGAACTTACAATATGACATGGTTGGGCCACTGTCTTGAAATATATCATTGCTAATTGTTTTCATTTTTCGAGCAAAACAGCCTTTGTGCTCCCAAGATAGCAGTAAATATTGCTCATAGCCATGCATCTCACATCATTATTGTCACAAATAGCTTGTTTGTAGCCCAGAACGCATTACTGAAAATCCAGCGCGCTTGCCGTACGAGCATTGTATAGCGGTTCAAACTTGTTTATGGCGTAACGGGCATATAATGTGCAACCGTATTTCAAATGCGATTAATATAATCGTATTTGATCTACACGATTATCACCATGACGATTTTTACACAACGGATCCTACGGTTTGGTGGGTATCGGGACGTTATGGCCTGTTGAGTGGGGACCACACGACCTGGAGAGAGTCGGGACCTCATGGCCCTGCGAGTAGGGAACCACACGACCTGGAGAAAGTCGGTACCTTATGGCCCGGTGAGTGGGTGACCACACGACCTGGAGTGAGTCGGTATCTTATGGCCCGGTGAGTGGGTGACCACACGACCTGGAGTGAGTCGTGACCTTATGGTCCGGTGAGTGGGTGACCACACGATCTGGAGAGGGTCATGACCTTATGGCCCGTTGAGTGGGGGACCACACGACCTGGAGAGAGTCGGGGCCTTGTGGCCCGATGAGTGGAGGACCGTACGACCTGGAGAGAGTCGGGATCCGTGAGCTGGCGGGTGCACAGCATGTTTGTGTTTAAAGTGGCCTAGTCGATGTAGCGATTTAATATATATATATATATGCATATATATATATATATATATATATATATATATATATATATATATATCGTCACCGTACAAATGCCACTAAATGAGTCACTTACTTTTTTGCTTCTCTTGAGATGTGGCCGGCTGGACGCGTTTGGTCGGAGAGCGGCTCTTCTGAGGGGAAACTGATTGGTCGACATCCTGTAAAACCAGAAGAATGTAGCAAACAACCAGCAATCTTTGGAAATCGGATTATACATGAAATGAATCTACGCCCTTGGCATTTGAACGTACAATTACGCACGTTTCAGACTCATGTGCTCGTATTTTGTAATGAAAAGCTATCCTTGGGTATGCAGTATAGCTGCTGGTGCGCCAATCAGTCAGATTAATGGAGCTTGGTTGAAAGGCTTCGCAAGCCTGCGTTTTATGAGTGTATTATCTGCCACAATAGATGCAAGGTACATGCATTGGGCCAAATAATATGTTAATAAGCTGGGTAACAGGTCAAGAAAATATCTAAAGCAAAATCCAAGTTTCCAGTAATATAAACACAACAGTATTTTGGTTCACGTTTTGCTCCTTCCCGTCATGTCATCTGAAATTTTTGTATCCTGATCAAAACTATTAACATATTGCCAGTGCCGTCATAAGCATTATACTAGGAGGCCTTCAGAGCTGCCAAGTGCTCCGAAAGACAGCATCGCAATTGTATTTATTAAGTAATGTTGAAAAGCTACTGAACAAACCATTTGGATCGCGCCAAAATGGTATTAAATGTACACACTCGCATGTCATTAGGTCAAACACCTGTATTTGCACAAGTACTTTCTAACTTATCGTGCTAAAGAATATAAAATGTGCAGCTGTCTGTTAACACCATATTTCCAATGAGAGCAAAGCACCCGCAAAAATGATGTCACAAAAATATGTATCATGAGATGTCAAAGTCTTCTACACATGTTTGTATTGCTGATTGGGGTTAAAGGGCGCGTCGACCACCATGGTCGTGTTGCGTCTATTTCTGCGCATTTAAAAGCATGCTGATTTTTGGGTGATTGGGTCAGTGAGTAATAAGTTAAAGGTTCTACACCTGTTCTTCAAAACAAAAATCGTTAGTGCCAGAAACAGGTAGATCAAGGTGGTTAAAGTTCAATGAATATTATTTTTCGGGGGGAGCTTCATCAGCACGGAATAACATTTCATATTGTGCAGTGATACCACCACGTGTGCAGTGATGTCACCACGTGTGTAGTGATGCCACCACGTGTGCAGTGATGCCACCACGTGTGCAGTGATGCCACCACGTGTGTAGTGATACCACCACGTGTGTAGTGATGCCACCACGTGTGCAGTGATACCACCACGTGTGTAGTGATACCACCACGTGTGCAGTGATGCCACCACGTGTGCAGTGATGCCACCACGTGTGCAGTGATGCCATCACGTGCTTTCTACACACGGTGGTATCTTAAGTAGAGTTAGCTGACCTAATGCTGTCCGTCTATAAGACACCAACACAGGTATCTCACGTAGAACATTTAACGTGTGATAAAACAGTTGTTATATTTTACATATCAGATTTACTGTAGAGCGTTAGGTGGTCGGATATGTGTGACACATAGCTCTTGACACAATGATGAAGTCAAGATATCTGGTCTGAAGTGTCTAATAATGTTTTATATCGATTATTTTTCCTTCTACACGCTAATAATTACTAATTTAGTGAATTTAATGAGCAATGACGCAGTTCCTGTGATCCTATGACTTCTGTGCAGCTCACATAAATGCACAAGACCGCATTTCAATATCAGAAGGGAAACACATTCAAGTCCCTTGCATTCTCAAACATGACCATCATAAAGTACCTGAAATTCGAGATAGGGCGCGCTCTTTCACTTTCCTTTTAACGTCCCCGGAATACGAATAACTCGGAATCTGTAGTTAAAGCGTTCATAAAAGCAAAAGGTGAGAGCAGCAAGAAAAGGCAAAGCGTCGCCGCATCATATGTACGTAAGCAGCTCACTTACCTTTCCTTCGTCCACACCCGAGTCCCGATCAGCGTCTGAAACCAGAGCAAAACGGTCAGATTCAGATAGATTTTTATCGCAGAGATAAGCACTGAGGTTTCCGAACAACCAGTGCGGCGTGAAAACCGAAAACTGCTGAGCAGCCCTGCCTACAAAGCTTCAATGACTCGTTTTCAATGCGGCATCACTGACGAAACCTCCAGCTTCCGAGAAGCGATCTGCATAATCCTGAAATTGTTGCGGCTTAATCAAGGAAACCGATAGTAACCAAGCAACATGAAATTACAGCTTGAATCGTGTGCGAAATAAATGTACGAATGCACCCATAACGAGCTGCATTTGATGTTCAGAAATTTCAACTCGTGTCCATTTAACAAGGCACACGATCCAAAGGCGGTTATTTCCGCACTGCCTGCACTACATGTGTCGCATAAAACAGGATGAAACGGCGATAAAAAAGCATGCATATATATATATATATATATATATATATATATATATATATATATATATATATATATATATATATATATATATACTGTATATATATCTATATTTATATATATATATATGTATATATATATGTATATATATATATATATATACTGTATATATATCTATATTTATATATATATATATGTATATATATATATATATGTATATATATATATATATATCTTCGCATGTCATTAGGTCAAACACCTGTATTTGCACAAGTACTTTCGAACTTATCGTGCTAAAGAATATAAAATGTGCAGCTGTCTGTTATATATATATATATATATATATATATATATATATATATATATAAAGCAGTCCATTTAGCCCGCCAAATTTGGCGTCCCATGCTTCCTTATTCCGGTACCCTCATGTTTTAGTTAGTTTTAGTTCATCTTAGCATTATCGTAGTTATGTTTATCAGTATTGTGCCGATATACCGAACAAAAATGCAACAAAGTGTGTTTTTCCTCCTTCGTTAGGTCTCGGAAGGCAGCCCAGCATCCAAAAATGAATGGCCACAGCCACGAAGAAAACGAGCAGCAGTGCTGTGTTAACTCAGACTCGGAGTTACAACGGTTGGCAGAGCAACATCGGTCATCTTGATGTTTGTTGGCTGTTTTCTCGTATAGAGTAACAGATAACTCTAATATGAACAGGAAAATCAGCAGACGTTTCCCTCTGTCTTATCAGTAGACCGTGAGCCCTCTTCATTGATGTGAAGAGGAATCCTTCACGAATGTCGTAAATCACCATCTAGCGGGCCCTCAGAAAAGACGACGCAATGTTAATCATTTTAAAGTTTTTTTAAATACCGGAACCAACGTGAAATACCGACACCTACTTACTGTAGCCATGTCGTCCAACAACTGACACAATTCACTTGGTCCCGCAACTTCACGCAGCTATGTGCTTAAGTGCTCGCGGGCATCTAAGGAGAAACTTAATTCGTATCATTATTTTTATGGCTATCTGGGAGGGTACCCGAACGTGTAACATGTGATGCCATAGAAACGCGGTCGTATTGGTTGCTGGTAAAAATAGGAGGAAGACCGGCGTGCGCAAAAGACATATGTGAAGAAAGATCCAGCCTAACCTTGATCTTTCATGAACAGCTTCGATAAAATATGTCGCAGTTCAACTTGCGTAATTGTACAAAGTCATAGACGTCGCAAATCTCGCACCGGCTAGGCTAATTATAGCCTTCATGGAGCTTAAAACCATTATCACCAAACATCCTGCGCTTGTGTTACCCACGGAGGCATGAATTAAGTTATTGAGGAAACATTCTGTTCCGCGATAGATTAAGCATTGCCTATTCGGGGACGATTGTATGGCTTTTCGAAAGCATGGGCCGGGTAAAACTTAAGCTGTTCATGTTCAGCAACATTTCCCCAGAACTCCCCCACCTCTTCGTTTCCGCGAGAGCGACCGGCCCCGTATCTCCTTTTTCTTGAAGTCTGCCTCCTCTTGCTTCTTCTTCTCCAGCAGCAGGGCCTGGGCGCGCGTCATACGTATGACGGGTCCGCCGCCGGCGCCGGCGGCGGGCCGCTTCCTGGGCGAGGCTCTCCTCCGGTCCGCCGATCTGCCCGTGCGCTCTTCGGCGGGCGCGGTGGTACCTTGCGCCGCCGGCTCCTCTGCTGGCGGGGGGTCGGATCCGGTAGCCGCCGCCGCCGCCGCCGCCGCCGCCGTCGCTGCGGCTACCGCGATCGGCGCCGCCGCCAGCGCTGCCTCAGACGCGCCCGTCTCGACCTGCCCCGGTTCTGACTCCGGCTCCGGCTCCGGCCCTTGTTCCGACCCCGGCGCCGGCTCAGGCTCTGGCTCTGGCTCTTGCTCCGGTGCCGGTGCCGGCTCCGGCTCCAGCTCCGGCTCTGGCTCCGGCTCCCGCTCCCGCTCCGGCTCCGGCTTCGGCTTAGACTCCGACTCCGGCTCCGCTTCCGTGCCCGTTTGTGTTTCTTCAGCTGCCTCAGGTCCCGTTGCTGCTGTTTCAGCAGTGGTTTCAGCCCCGGCTTCTGCTGTTTCGTCAGTTGCCTTAGCTCCCGTTTCTTCCGCTTCATCGACGGCCTCCGCGCCCGCCTCAGCAGCCTCGGCCGCGGTGTTTGAGGCTGCAGTCTCGGCCGATTCCGGAGCCGGTTCGGAAACTCCAGAGGGGGACGGCGCAGGCGATGGGTCTGTGGTGTCGGTGGTCGGGGCGGGCACCTCTTGGCTGGCGTCTGGAGACGCCCGATGGCTCGTTTCCCCGGCTGGAGTCGACGAGAGCGCCGGCGAGGGAGCCTTGGCCGACGCCGGCGTCGGCGTGCGAGCCGCTTCCGTCGCGGGAGCCGGCGACGGCAAGCGCGAGCTCTCCTTCGCTGCGGCGGGCGTCGGAGTGCGGGATGCCTCCTTCGCTTGAGCGGCCGAGGAAGCGCGTTCGTTGTCAGACGCCGGCGTCGGCGTGCGGCTCTTCTCCTTCATCGGACGAGGCGACGGCGACGGCGACACCGGCCGGCCCGAAGCAGGCGTCGGGTTCGGCTGCCGTTCGGCGCCGGGGATGGCGACGGTGACGGCTTCGCGGCGGACTGTGCGGAGGACGCGCGGGACGGCGCCTCCTTAGTGGGAGCGGGGGACGGCGATGGCGAGGGACCCTTGGCCGAGTCGGGAGAGGGTGTTCGGTCGCGAGCGGCAACGGACGAGCCCCTGCTGGGCGCGGGGGACGCCGCCTTGTTGGGCGAGGACGAGAGCGCCGGAGAGACGCGGGCGGCCGGGTCCGGTGACGGCGAGGGCGCTGCGCTGCCGGCGGCGGAGGCGGCCGCAGGCTGGCCGCCCGTCTCCGCCACCGACGCCGACGAGTCTGGCCTGTGCTCGGAGCCTGCCTCGGAGGCCTTGCGACCACTGGCCGCCGTGGACGGTCGCGAAGACGCCGCCGCCTCCTCGGGCCTCGATGGGGACGCCGCCGCGACCGAGGCCGCGTCGCTGTCCTTATCAGCATCCTCCGGAGACGAGTGGTCTTCGGGCACCTCCGGGCTGACCGAGCGGTGCGACTCGACCGCGCCGTCCGGCCCCGCCGCCGAGCCGGCCCGGGCCGACGAGGCGCGCGAGCCGCGCGCCGACGACGGCGTCGGTGAGGCGGCCACCGCCGAGCGCGCCGACGGCGGTCGCGACGACACGCTCGACTTGACCGACGGCGGCCGCGACGACTTGGCCGACAGCACCGACTCAGGCCGCGACTCGTCGGCGATCTCGGCGGCCGTCGCGCTGTCGGGCCGCGGCGCCGGTGCCGGCGACACTACCACGTCGTCATCGTCGGAGGCGTGTCCGTGCGCCCCGCTGTCGCCGTCGTCGTGGAGCGCCGTGGCGCCGACAGCGCCCGACACCGTGTCGACGGTGCCAGCGCTGGCCTCCGCCAGCGCCAGCGGGTCGGCCGGCGCGTCGTCGCCGACGGCGACGTCGCAAGTCAGCAGCTGCTGCTGCACCGAGCTGAACACCTTGCCGACCAGCCGCTCGGCATCCAGCGAGCCCTGCGAATCAGCCGTCGGCAGCGGCGGCACCTGGAAGCCGCCAAGCGGCAGCCCTGCCGCCCGTCCTGCGCCGTCGGCCGAGTCGACGGAGCGCGTCGAACCGGACGCATCGATCTAGAACAAAGAGACCCCGATTCACCGGCGCTCGACGGCGGAGCCGCGATAACGAGCGTCTGGACCGAAACCGGCGAAGCAACTCTCCGACACGAGCGGGACCATCGGCGGGCCGGCCGCGGCGCGTACCCCGTTGGTGGCGCCATCCCGAGCAGCGCTGGCCGAGCCCGGCCGGCTGCCGCTCTCCGGGTGCAGCTCCGACATTGGGCGTCTGTGCGGCTCCGAGGCGACGAATCTGGAGGAGACCTGGCCGCGGCCCGGCGCCGCCGTCAGCGCCCGTGGTCCCGCCGCTCGGCAGCGGTGCGTGCACGGTGCGGGGTGCGGGCGCTGGGCCACTTAGCCACCGATATCTTGGGATCTAACCCAGTGGGCACGCACGTTGCGCCTGTTGCTTTATGACGATGGGGAGCAGCACTGTGGAAAAGCAGACTCCCTAGGGGCCGTGGAAGTACATAAATTGACAAATCGAATGTGCAGATGTTCATGCATGATGAATGCATGCATAGCAAGTGCTTCGGCGAGTTGCATGTGGCGCGAGGCCTACGGATCCTTAAATATTCCGGGCATGATTCTCTTTATAGGACAGAGCCTCGGTCACAGCTAATTCGTGGCGTGAATGACATGCTCGATATAGGTATAATGCAATGAACGGTGGCTTCATGGGGCAGCTTTTTGCTCTTCTACGCCAATCTGTGTTAACGTTTTGGCGAGTTGATATATTTAGCCGCCTCCATCACTCCCATCATCACTAGTGCCTGTATCCAGCAACATTCCTGTACCGAGCCAAGCCTCCGTGCTGTGTCTAGTGACCTCTGTATTGGCCCTCTAGCTAAACACTTAGCCACCGAGGGCTAGGTCAGTGGGGCTGTTTTCCGGCTGGTCAAATGCCCTCGCACGGCGCAATCAACGGTGAACGCCCGGTAACGACACGGCGCAATCAATGATGAACGCCCGGTAACGACACGCAAGTGGCCCGAGCCATGTGTGCAGTCAAGCCTGATCTCAATGCACTATTGATGCGAGGGGCGAGCACGACCGACAATGACAGAAGCAATACGGAACGCCCGCGCGCATGCCAAGTGTGTGGCGGAAAACAAGTGCCTCCTCAATGGAGGTGAGACCTGCCGGCTAATTAGCAGCGCGTGGCCGGACCTTGGTGATGTGGAGCGGGCATTAGCGCGCTCGTTTCGGATGCACATGATTATGGCAACAGCCACTGTAGGGGCAAGTTACGTTCGGTTATTGTCGACACTTTAAAAAGAATTAGACAAAGTAAAATAACTCTATTGTGATATCATGAGCCATTGCAATTCGCATGTCACTGAATGTGATGGGAGGTGCAGCTGAACCGAAACAAACATGCCTGAAGGCGACCTGAAGCTTGACGGCGATACAACGTATGCCTTGCGAATGCATAGGCGCTACCTCAAAACATACCAGGACCCGAGATTTGACAGAGTTAAAAGATATTGAAATCAATAAACGGAGCGATTCTCTCAAAAAAAAAATGGCATCCTTCTAGGGAATCAAATTCAAGACGATTTGACTCAATGTGATATTAGAACACGTTACGGTTCAATTTAAAGTACCAAGTCCAGAGCTCCCGACACTTTAATCTCGCCCAGGGAGAGCACAGCAAAAACATTGCGAAAGCCCAGTCGTTGTTCACGAGCCATGATGTGCTTATCTGTTATCTTGTAACAAGCAACCGGCAAAGATTTAACAAAATATTTCATTATGGGCCACACGTGACAAATTATATTATTTACCTCATGTTGCCGCGTCCATTATGGGAAATATTCTTCCAGCTCTGTTGCACTCGAAGTGCGACACAAGACGCCTCAAGGAACAACAATCAACATAACCTCTCAAGTGTCAAGCTTTAGCCCTTCACGCTGCAGGCACGTGTACAGTGAACAGCTCATTTCCCCCACGAGTGCATGTAGCACGCCAACAAGCCTGTGCGCGCATGCATACAGAGCGCGTGCTACTGTGCTCAAGTGCGCGGCTGGTGCGCAGCATTCACGCGTGCACACGGGAGGCGGACGGGACCACTGGGCGGCGGCGGCGGCACAGCTCGAGCGGCGCCGTGACCTGGCGTGACCTGTGGCGACGGTGCGGCGGCCGGCGAGCCCCAGGGCGGAGTGCGGTCGGCGCCACCCGCGGCCGCCGGCAGGAATGCAGCCACCGACCACTGACGTCAGGAGGCGATCGATGCGCCGGCCACGACGCGCCACTTCTGCCGGCCGGCTGGCTGCTGGCGCTGCTCTCATCTCGACAGAGGCCGTTCTTCCGGCGCAGGTCTCGTCCGACTGGTGGTCCGGTCCCGCCGCTGGTTTGGTCGGCCTCAGCCAGCTGGCTGCGCTCCTGGTCAGAGCTGGAGGTCCGCCTGGCGCTCCGCGCCGCCTCGCTCCGCTCGTGCGCTGCCGGTGCGGGTGACGGTGCTTTCCCTGCCAGCGAAAGCTTCAGGAGCTCCAAGTGACGCTATTCTCTGAATTCGTTCTGGAATGCATGCATGGGAACCGCAAGCGGTGCCTTCTCCATGCCAGACACCAGCTGGCAGGCCTTCGATGTTCCTGCCTCTGGGAGAGATGTATCTTCTATTTTCAGACGCCCGGTTGGAAATTCTTGTTTTCCTTCACAGCTGCCCTTGCGCCGCAGGATGCATAAGCTAAGACTCAACTTATGACCTTTACGATTACATTCTTTGGCCACGCATTGCTCGAGACGACATTGTTACTCTTACCGACGGCATATTGGTCACACTGATGAAAAAAGTTTTGGTCGTCGAAATCACTACACCGCGCGAACAAAGATCGCTTCGGTATCAGGTTGGTAATAAACCAGACAGAACTCGAGCCAATTCACGGACTTCCGCGCCGATCCCGGCTCCGTGCAGTTGGCTTTGGCAGAGCAGTATCAACCGGCCAAATCTTGCGATAGTGGCGATTT